ATGTTCTTCCATTTGTGTATGTCTTCCTCTATCTCTTTCTTCAATGTCCTGCAGTTTTCCGAGTAGAGGTCTTTTACTTCCGTACTTAGGTTTATTCCTAGGTATCTTAATTTTTTTGGAGCAATAGTAAATGGGATTTATTTTTTTAATTTCTCTTACTGTGAGTTCATTATTGATGTATAAAAAAGCCATAGATTTTTGGGTGCTAATTTTGTATCCTGCTACATTGCTGAATTCACTTACTAAGTTTAGTACTTTTTAGATGGATCCTTTCGGGTTTTCTATATACAATATCATGTCATCTGCAAATAATGACAGTTTTACTTATTCTTTTCCAATTTGCCTTTTATTTCTTCTTATTGTCTGATCGCTATGGCTAGTACTTCCAGTACTGTGTCGAATAGGAGTGGTGAAAGTGGGCATCCCTGTCTTGTTCCTGTTCTTAGGGGAAGTTAATGCTGGATCAGATTTGCTAGAATTTTGTTGAAGTTTTTAGCATCAATGTTCATCAAGGATATTGGCCTGTAGTTCTCTTTTTTGTGGTATCTTTATCTGATTTTGGAATTAGGGTAAACATCATTAGACTTGTACTGACTTGTTAGGTGTGCGCAAGAGGAAATATTTCACTTTCAGAGAACAAGAAAAATAGGTTTATTTGTATTACGTTTATTTGTGCAGTTTTTCAGTGTCTGGTAAGTTAATGTTTATGAAAAACTAATTTTTATTAAAATGTTCTATTTTATGTTAACGATTACTCATTCATTTCAGCCCTTTGTATTCAGCATGTCTCTATCAAAATAAACCTATATTTCTATGAAAATTGAAGTTTTTTTTGTTTTTCGTGGCCCACATCAACTTATTAAACCTTATTATTTGGCCGTGTTAGCCTTTGAGTTTGACATGCTGGATTTATACCTCTAATTCTAGCTATGCATAAGTACAGAGAGAAAAATTAAACTATTTCTAAATTTTACATAGAAAGCATTGTAAATTCAAGAAAGTTAGAAGTCTATCAAAAATATTTGATTATAAATCTAAGCACCTTGAAATGTTTCCCCAAATAATGGCAGGAGTTGGGGAGAGGGTTGGAAGTATTGTTAGTTCTACCAGTGTATTTTTTAAAATTCACTGATTCTGTAAAGGAGGTTGAATTATCCCCATCCCCATTTACTCCAAAATTTAAAGTTAAAAAGGAGCAAAATTGATTTTACCACCCAGATAGTTTGACTTATTTCCCTTCCAGCTCCCTCCCCATTCCCACTGACCTAAGGAGAGCAACTTCCGATTTGTCATTTCTACCCTTTGCCTTTTAATAATGATTTGGTAATAATTATCCTGTATAATAAGAGGGTAATATGCAAATAGACCAAACAACAGAACAACTGAACAACCAATCAAAGCATAATATGCTAATGATATGCTAAGGCTGCTTAACCGCTTGCTATGACATGCATTGACTACCGGGGGCAGGTGCAGAACATGGCAGGCCTCAGCAGCAGGCAGCAGAGCACAGAACATGGTGGGCATGGGCCGCTGCGGGATGGTGGAGCAGGTGCGGGGGGCAGGGGAGGAGCTTGGTACCAGACCAAGGCAGGGCACTGGTGGCTGTCATCGGGGCGAGCCTCTGGTGGTTACTGAAAATTATTTGCTCCTGCGCACCATGGTCTCGCCTGGCACTCACACCTGCTGCCAACGCTGGCTCTGATCGCCCCTCAGGGCTTCTCCACCTCCCCCTGCTCCCCCATCGCTCCATGCTGTCAGCGGGTGCAAGCGGGGCCGGTGCCATCAGCACGTGGGAGTGGCGGCAGCGGGAGCAGGGATGCCCGCAGACAGAGGACCAGGGGCCAGTAGGTGGGGCCGGGTGGGTGTGTGGAGGATGGGCCGGGTGGGGGTGTGGAGGATGGACCGGGTGGCTAGGGACCCTACTCATGCATGAATTTTGTGCACTGGGCCTCTAGTTATTTAATAATGATTAATTTATTTTGATAAATAATGAATGAAATTCCATTTTTAATAATTCTTTAATATCAGAGGATTTTTAAATAAAGGTCAACCTGTGCCATGTATTATTTCTTTATAATATGAATTAGTTGGTTATTTGTTTTGCATTTAGTTTTCAGTGTTAGAGTAGGTTTTGTTTTTGTTTATTTTACGTTTTAATAAACCAGAACCATGAAATCTATTTTTCTGTCAAATATCATTGGGTAGGAATTTTTACTGAATTTTTTCAATAAAAACGATTTTAAGTATAATAATTTTACATGCAATAAACATTAATATTTCAAGAAAAAAAGATTTTAAATATAATATTACCAAAACTTTATTAACATAGTATAATAAACACAAAAGTTGTAGGAAATACTAAAAATCTGCAAATAACAGGATTACTTCTATTATATTCTAAAAATTTTTTTACTGATCTTTTTAGAAATAATATTTTTATTACTGGCTTGCTTGGTAACATGTGATGATATTTTGGAAGTCTTCATATTATACTGATAGAGTATTTTTTTCCTCCCTCAGTAACTTGTGTAATATACATGGTGATTGAAATAATTATTTGACTTAGTCAATGAAGTACAATACTGTTCCTTCATTTTTTATTTTTATACTTTCTTCATTTTTATTAATGGGAAGTCAAATAGTATACAGTGATTGATAGACACAATTCTGAATGACTGTGGAGGTTCATCTCCCTCTTTCCCCTTTTGGTAGTTTAGTGAAAAGCTGCATCAGCTGAAAACACTCTGAAGTCTGTTCTCTGAGCTGCAGCATGCAGATCTTGATGCCCCCCACAGGCCCAGGTTTCTGGCATTGTTCTGGGGGCCTGGAAATTCCTTGATATGTTTCTTGTTTCCCAGAGAAACTGGGAGTTAACTAGTCCCTCTTAGGCTAACGGGTAAGCCTGGTGTGTGTGGAAAGGGGAGGAGAATGTGGCTGGCTTACTCTCTCTTGGACTGCTTTCTGTGAATGTCCAGCCAGCTGACTCAGGCAGGCCCCCAACTGCAGGAACTTTGTTCATGTTGCATACAGAACATCTAAGCTCAGCCTGTGAAGTGGAATGAATTTGGGTACCTGAACATGCTTTTACTTTTCTGTTTGTCAGTTTTTTCTCAACCTACCTTCTGGCTCTGTCTGTGCTATGTGGTAGTAGTGTCTGTGTCTGTGACCCCTTTATGGGACAGGAATCCTTTGAGGTCTTTTAGCAGAAAGGTACTGCTTTGAATAAGAGATGGCAAGTATTAAATGCTAGAGCCAAGTGGAACGACACTTAGAATACCACCTGAAATGACAGGGCAAGTGTAAAACATTAGGTAGGTTACATTTTTGTGTGAGTATTTCTACAGAATGTATACTGTTATTTAAGATATAAAGAGAGCTACTTGCCTAGCTTATTGTAAATATCTTATAATTACTGTCCTAAGTTCTCTTTCTCAAACTGCCCTTGCAGCTTATTCCTTCCTTTTCTATCTCTGGTTAGATAGTGTGGAAGTTACAAAATATCCAAAGTCAGGTGGAAAGACTGAGCAGGGAGTAAAGGTTTAATGGAACTTGGAGATGAAGTAGGTTGGTCTGAGTCTTGCTTTGTCTGAAGTTCTTCACAGTTTACCCCTCAGGTATTAGCCACCCTAAAATCTATACTTTGAAGCTGATAGTTTTTAAAAATATTGTTAAATCCTTTTTTATAACTCCAGATTAGCTAAATTGCTTATGTGTACACAGTCAAGTTTTCCTGTGAGTGTTTGGGGTAGGATCATGTGTATACCCCTTGCATTATCATGAGTGATTTTTAATTGAAAACTAGGCAGATTACTGGCTGCCAGGAGTTGAGGAGGAGGTGGGAGGGAGGAAAGTATGAGTGACTATAAAAAGACAACATGGATCTTTTCCTGTTTTGGAAATGTTCTTTATCTTGATAGTATCGTTGTCAATATCCTGGTTATAATATTTTACTGTATCATTTTATTCCTTTGACATTGACAAAATTACCTCTTATAACAAGTATCAGTGCTTTCCATTTTAAATATTGCTTTTTGAGTCATTATATATTAAAGGAGGTCTTTGTGTTCTATTCTACAGATATTTGAGATATTTGGACCTGTTGCACATCCATTTTATGTATTACGGTTTAATTCTTCAGAACACATTGAGAGTAAAGGTATTAAAATGAAGGACACTATGTATTTTGCTCCATCAATGAAAGACTTCACCCAATATGTATTCACAGGAAAACAGTAAGTAATTTTAACACCACCACCAGTAACTATATTTTAGTTGTTGTTTGCTTATTTTGTATTGTAAATCAGCAAGTGAGATACAAGACACCTTAATGACCCAATTAATTAGGAGTCATTTATTGCACATGGCCCAGAGGGAGGTATTTCTTCTAAATCTCTGGGCGAAGTCACACAGGAAATACCCATATTTACACCTTTTGAGCTTCTTTGTCTGCAGATTTTACAAAGAGCTCTGTGTGAGTTATTGTTACAGACAGTTTGTAATCTTGGATGCATAAATAACAAACATTTGGCATAAGAATATGGGAATTATTATCAGTATTAGTCCATTACGTTAGATGGCTAGCATGCAAGGTCAGACAGTTAAGTTTTTATCTTTTTCTATTATTCAAACTAAAACAGTTATTTTATAGAATAAGAGACTGTCTAAAAATGACAGTTTACAGAATAAGGGACTATCTAACAATAGCAGAGAATTTCAAATAGCAGTTTTTTATACAAGATAGAGGTTGCTATGCTTCAATCTAATATTTATATTTTAGGAATACTCAGCAGGGGTAGTTTTAAATAGTATCTGTCTTTTTTAGTTCATTTATCTTCCTAATAACACATCTGAAAGCTACAATTATCAAATTTTACAGCTAGCAATCATATATTTTGCTGACAATGATTTGCTCCAACTAGTAGCAATATATTTGGGCCATATAAACTTTCTGAATTCTAATTCACTGCATTTTTCATTACATGCATTCTTATATATACATGCTACTTCAGTATCAGTATTACCATTTAAAAAATTCTTTAAAATTTTAAATAACAGTTTTATTGGATTAAATTCTAGACTTATTTCATAATTTTCAAGAAACTTTGTAATTCTCAAGAAAAAAAAGAAAATAAGGAGATTTCAGGTTGCTTGTATATTGTAAACTTACAGGAGAGACCACTAAAATGTGTCCCTGGAAAGTTGTGTATCAAGCGGTGATAAACAGAATTTACTTAAGTGATAACTTATTACTCCCATTTTGTCTGTAACTTATGCTAAATGATGCCTATAGTATGTGGGTAGTAATATTTCCACATATTTATGCTCCCACTGGTTGTGTATTTTTCTTGTGTTAATTGTGTTGCCAAATGTTAGCTGTAAGGCTGCTTATATCATTCAAATTTAATATTATTATTTTATTTAATTTTTATGTAAACTAATGGCATATAGTTCAAGTAGAATAGCCTTTTCTATAAAAATTACTTGAATACTTCATAAAGCTGTAATGAATATGAGCTACTAAAAATATTGTCAAATTAGAAGTGGAAAAAAAGGCCACAAAACATTGGGAGGGGGAGTGGGAATCTTAAATCCAAAAAGACTGCACTCAGTTTGACACACAAGTCTCTTTCATAGGTGAAACATCAGGGATATGGTTTTTGTAAGAAATAGAAAGGCAACTTCAAGCAGTGAATAGTATTAGTGCTATGACAAAAGTACTAGGCATAATTAAGTCTCTTTACTACTTACATATTAAATCAAGTCTCTGAATTTCATTTATTATTTCAGAAATGAAAATTTCGTTCCTGATAATTAATTCAGCTTATGTTTAAGAATCCACATAATTATCTGAAGGACCATTTTACAAAATCTAACTTACTCTTCAGGCTGTGTAAAGTTAATTTTTCTAAATAACTGCTAAGACAGGTGAATTGAATAGACAGCAAAGTCGTAAAGATTATGTAATATATTTTAAAATCATGCCTTAAATAATTAGTATTCCATTCTGCTTTGAATATTAGGGTGTTGCTGTGGATATGTCATATATTTTTCTTTTGCCATATAAAATTCTTTACCTTAAAACAGATAAAACTAAAAAAAAATTCTGAAATATTTATTAAAATAGATTTTAAGTAATAGGAGCAGTCTTTGTTTTTTATTTGTAAGAACAAGAATTTTGTCCTGGAAAGAAATAATTAACCAAAGAGTTGGAGAATTAGGCCTACTTTGCAGAGGCACCACTTTGACCTCAGGAGAGGTCAGAGCCTGTTCTGTTCAAGACTGCATTTTGGTGTCTGTCATGGGAACTCAGTGGAATACTTTGCCTTTGAGGTAGAGAAGGTCAGTCAGCTCCACTCCAGCTAACTTGACTCTAGGAAGGCTGTTTAAATCTTAGCTACCTACGCATGAACTTTCTGTGAAAAGTGGTTTTTCAAATGTTGCTTGATCTTTTCTTTAGTAGATTTTGATTTTCAAAACTAAATGCACAATTTGGGGCACTTTTCCCATTGGTGTCATTAAAGTCCAAACTAAAGGCACCACAGGCCATGAGATGGCATATATGGAAAAATGGAGTACTAGAGCTGTGTTAAATGTATAGGTGTACAATGATAATTTCTTTAAGTGGTGGAAAAATCACTGTTAATGCCTCTGAATCAAAATTTCAGAACAAACTTAATGATTTCCATATTGTGCCAGATTGACATCTGTCAATTGAATTTTATGGATTTCAGATTAATGAATTAATGATTTTAATGAATTCTTAAGAACCCCATTTATTTTTGAGATCTAGTTTAAAGCAGTGAGGGACTAATACTTTTTAATCTTATATAATAGAAGTGTAGTATACAAATTGTCCCCTCGACCAAGAGTTCTTCCAGGAGTTCGACCAGGGAGTGGGGCTGGCTGGGGAAGGGAGGGAGGCTCTGGCTGGCAGCAGGTGGCCCAAAGAAGGGAGGGAGGCCCTGGCC